TTTATTATAAGCCTACAGTAATCAAGAAAGATGGTACTGACATAAAAATAGGAAAATAGATCCATCAAACAGAGAGAAAATGCAGAAATATACACAAAATGATCAACCAATTTTTGACAAAGTTAAAAAAACATTTAAATGGATAAATTATAGTCTTTTCATTAAATGGTATTAGAAAATGTGCATATATGTATAGAATCAAAAAATGAATTTCAATCCATACCTCACACTGTATATAAATTCAACTCAAATTGTAGGCAGAAATAGAAAAACTAAATTTTTTTTAAAGTTTTAGTTTCTTAATATGGTATATTACATTGATTAGCATCACTAGTCTTCAGAGAAATGCAAATCAAAACCACAATGAGAAACCATTCACACCACTAGAAGGACTGCAGTAATAATTTTTAAAAAAGATATTAAAAATTGTTGACAAAAATGTGAAGAAATTGGAAATCTCATGCATTGCTGGTAGGAATGTAAAATGATACAATCACTTTAAAAAACTGACAGTTTCCAAAAATGTTTAAAAATAGAGTTACCATATGACCCAGCAATTCCACTCCTAGGTACATACCTAAGAAAAGTGAAAACGTATCTCTGCACAAAAACTTGTACATGAATCTCATAGCAGCATTATTTACAATAAGAAAAGTTGAAACAACCCATTTGGCTCTCAACTGATGCCTGGATAAATAAAACTGTAAAACTTATTGGATAAAACATAGCAGAAAACAGGACCAGGCAAATGAGGGGTCTAGGGTGCAAAATTTAAGAACGTCCTCACTCTCGGGGATTTGCACAACCTTGAGAGATACTCCTTAAATTTTGCACCTTAGACCAAACACCTCCTTGGTCTGGTGCAGACTTTGAGAGAATGCTTAGTGAGTGTGCGGTAGGCAATGATTTCTTAGAAATGACACCAAAAGTAAAATCCTGAACATTTTTAACATGGTAAACTGAGCTTCATTAAAATTAAAAACTTCTGGGACTTCCCTGGTGGTGCAGTGTTCGGGAACCCGCCTGCCAATGCAGGGGACACGGGTTTGATCCCTGGTCCAGGAAGATCCCACATGCCGAGGAGCAAATAAGCCAGTGTGCCACTACTACTGAGCCTGCATTCTAGAGCCCGCGAGCCACAACTACTGAGCCCACATGCCACAACTACTGAAGCTCGCGCAGCTAGAGCCTGTGCTCTGCAACAAGAGAAGCCACTGCAATAAGCCCACGCGCTGCAGCGAAGAGTAGCCCCCGCTCGCTGCAACTAGAGAAAGTCCATGCACAGCAACAAAGACCCAATGCAGCCAAAAATAAATTAAAAATAAATAAATTTCAAAAAAATTTTGAAAACTTCTGCTCTTCAGAAGATTCCATTAAGAGAATGAAAAACAAGTCACAGACAGGAAAAAAATTATCCAGAATACATTAAACTTTCAACACAATCAAAAATCTCACTTGAAAATAGGCAGAAGATATATGACCAAAGGATGGGGGAAAATATGAAAATGTTCAACATCATTATTTGTAGGTAAATATGAATTAAATATGGCATATCCGTATGGCATATCCAAAATAATAATGAAATATTATTTGACATTAAAAAACAATAAAGTTCTGATACATGCTGTGACATGGTTGAATCTTGAAAAGATTATGCTACATGAAAGAAGCCAGTCACAAAAGATTACATACTGTGTGATTCCATTTATATGAAATGTCCAGAATAGGGAAGTCTGTGAAGATAGAAAGTAGTTTGGTGGTTGCCTAAACTTGGGGGACAGGAAAGATAGAGATTGACTGCTAACTGGTATGTGGCTACTTTTTGGAGTGATGAAAATATTATTAAATTATATTATGGCAATGGTTGTACAACTCTGTGAATACACTAACAATATTGTACACTCTAAACTATAGATTGGAAATTATGGAAACTATATCTGAATAAAGCTTTTTAAGAATAACCAGGAGACTTCTGCTCAGGAGAAGATCACATAGCCCTTTTGCTCCCAAGATCCTCCCTATCAAGTACAAATATAAGCCCTGGAAATAACTTCAGAGAAAACCAAAGTAGAATTCTAAAAGATATAAGAGGAAGGTTAGGACCCTAGGAATAGAGAAACAGCACAGTACAAAGTTGTCTTATTACCTCTAACCCAAGAAAGAAAGGTGACCCAGGACGGCCATTTCCTGAACACCAGCTTATTTTTAGAAACAGAAGGTGGTCCAGGTAGGCTCATTCTTTTTCTGGATCAAATGAAAGAAGTCCTACCTATCACAGGTGAGCCAGGCGGCACTACAAATCAATAACAGAAAGATGGCAGAAAAATCTCAGAACACTTAAAAAGTAAACTAACCTTCTATATAATCCATTGGTCAATGAGAAAGTCTCAAAGGAAATTTTAAAAATATATTGAACTGAATGAAAATACAACACATCAAAACTTGTGGTACACTATTAAAGCACTGAACATTTACATTAGAAAAGAGAAAATCAATAATCTAAGTTCCTATCTAAAGAAACTAGAAAAAGAAGAGGAAAATAAACAAGCATAAAGCAGAAGAGAGGATGCATTGGGGATGAGTTAGAGTGAAAGGGGCTGTTGTTTGAGGGGGATGATATTGAAATGGAATATGAATGGGAGGAGAATTAGAGAAGGACATGACCTGGGATGTGCAAGAGAATTGCTGAGTGGCCTGAGGGCCCAGCTGAGGTTGGAAATTCTATTAGATGAACCAATATTTGGAGGGCTACTACATTTTCTCACAGTGGTCATTATGAGATTGGAGGAATCAGATGCCTGGAGGGACCCAAGGCTGAGAGTAAATAGTGCAGACATGGTATTTCAAGAGCAAGGGAATGAAGATACAGTCAGTTCTAAATTAATACGCCCTGAGATCCTGCCTGGACAAGGAAAGAAGTGAAGAGAAAAGAAAAGGCTTGAGCCACTGGACATCTCAACAAGACCAAATAGCAGAAGACGTGGAATCCAGCCATTGTTAGGAGATTTGAGTCACAGTGGAATACTGGAGTTGAGTCTTTTGGAAGTGATGTCATGTCTAGTGATGCCAAGTGGCTGCAGGTGGTTGAAATGCTAAGTTAAAGGATGAAAGGCCAGGGTGTGGGATGGGTCTTCCACGTAGATATTGTTGAGGTCGCCTAGGATGAGGACAGGACTTGGAGTGTCAAGGTAGCCCGTTGAGCTGGCCCTTAGAGTATGGGGAAGAGCGAGGATAATGCCCATATCTACTCACCACTCTCAGCCCCAACTCCTTGGTTGGTAGTCAGCACTAGGGGGGAATGTAGGGGAAGCAATAAGATCAGGAGAAAACCTGGTTTCAGGGAAGGCCAGGAAGTGAAGGGAATGTTTTGAATCCATCTACTTGCCTACTTGTTGTCGGGTTTATTTGTTGATTTTCAAGCTGAGTGGGAAAAGCACAGGTGAACTCTTCCAAGGACACATCATACTATTTTAGCTCCATAAAGTCCTGGAATGGCAGTCAGAGGCCTGTCTGGATCTTAATCCAGATCTCTGACCTCAAGTAAGTCCTTTCCAAATATGAGCCCTACTGTGACCATACATATAACAGAGAGTTGGAATGGATGAGCTTTATATTTTCTGCTGGGTTTAATATCTGTGAGTCCTAGATACAACTGCTAGGGTCTGTCTGAGATATCACAGTTGCTGTCTAATGGCTTGTCTGAAAAAAGGACCTATAAGGAAGGAACCTGAAGCTTGCTTGTTAAAAGTGCAAATCCAAACCAAAAAAGCTGACTGCAGACATCACAGTGCATCTTTGTGTCAAAGGAAGAATCCTACAATTTTAGGATAAGCCAGTATAATCTAGTCGTTAAAGTTTTGAAGACTGGCTGTTTTCCACTAAGCAGGTGTGTAATTTGGGCAGGTTATTTGACCTCTCTGTATCTCATTTTCCTCAAGAAGAAAATGAGGATGACAGTAACATGTATCTCATAGAGTTGCTGTGAATATTAAATAAAATGATGCAAGTAAAGCTTTAAACACATTTAGGAACTCGATATGTGTGAACTATCATTATAATTATTATTGTAAAACAATCATTATTATAGGAGGGACCCAACATTACCTTTCTGCTGTCTGTAAAACTCTACAGAAGGAAATATCCTAAAGTAAAGTGTGCAAAAATAAATAATACACATCATTCCACTTTCTGGAACTCTGCCGCTGACATGTGAAATTTCCAAGCATGTCACGAAGTCTTAAGCTTTCAAGAAAGTTTGGCGGTCCCATCAATCAAACAGAAGCATGTTCTTCTCTTACTCTTGGAAATCATGTCTCAGGATATTTCTAGGTTTTCATTTTTGACCAATCCAGGGGGAATTTCTCAGTTGAGAGCACCTAGTGATCTCTCCCTTTATTCCCCTCTTTTCTCCTTTTAGACGGCCTCCTCTGAAGCTTTATTCTTTTCCCCTACTTCTCCTTCATCCCTTCTACATTCTCTTTATTCAGTTACAGCTCTTTCCCCTTTCTTCCACTTTACTCTCCTTTATCACACACCACACCCCTTTTTTCCACCTCACCCCTTTATTCCATTTCTCTCCATCTCCTTATTCCACATTACCCCTTCCCCTTTTTCCCCAACACCCTCTCCTTTATCCCCCTCACCCCGCTTACCCCATGTCACCTCCCTTTATTCCATTTCCCTCCATCCCTTTATCCCATATCACCCCTCCTCTCTATTCTCCATCACCCCTTCTCTTGTACCCCACATCACTCCCCTTTATTCTACCTCACATCTTTATTCCATCTCTCTCCATCCCCTTATTCCAAATCACCCCTTCCCTTTTATTCCACTCACTCCATCCCTTTACACCGTCACCCCTGCCCTTTATTCTACATCACCCTCTTCTATTTCGTTCCTCTTCCCCACCTCTCTTTCCCCTTCAGCTCCAGCTAGAGCTTCCCAACTCACCAACAAAATTTCAAAAAAAAAAAAACCACACACACAGTAAGCCATGAATATGCTGCTGTCACAATACAGATGTTTATTAATGATTAAATGCCAGAGAAGTTTTAACAATCACAAATCTTCGAGCTCTGCGGTTGTTACCCATTGTGTGATCAATTTCTACCCCTCAATACAATACATTCTTCATTCTATGGACCTTAGCAGTTGTTACCCCTCAATAACAGCTATAATTTTGGATGTCATACATAACCCATATCTGCATGTTACCAGAGCATGTCCCGCAAATTTGTACCGTCCTGCATAGAGGAACTACAGAGACGATATTTAAGAACATTTGTAATCAGGTGACTTTTACTGCTTGGAACTATGTGTTCGTACCTAACTAGCTGTTTTGCTGACAACAGGATGTGGCTGCCAGCTATCTGTAAAACAGATCTAGGTAATAAAATCAATTTTTTCCTCTAACCTTTGACCCCAGGAAAGCTAGTTGGGTTTCTCAGGATTTGGGGAGTGGCTGTTTGACGAGCCATTGGTCTAAATAATTTGGAAAAAATTATCCTGAGGCGGTGGAGTGGCTGCGAGGACACGGCTATGAATTGGTGTGACATGGTTTAGCATTAATTGTCAGCTGTTAGTAGGCTGACCTAACATCCTAGCATGCCTCTTGAGGGCCTTTCCAACTGAGCTCTTAGGAGGAGGGTAGGAAAGTCAGGAAAAGCATGCAATCCCCTTTGGGGGAGGGAAAGCACCTCGAGATTTGTGAGCTTCTCTGGGACAGGTGTTTACCACAAATGTCACATCAATTAAAGGAACGGCTGTAGTAAGGGAAAGCCAGGATCAGGGGTAAAAGAGAGAGGCAAGGTAGCACCAGGGCGCCTGAGCATGACACAGAAACATCTCCACTTTTACCAGCTGAAGGGACCGAGCATCCCCAGGAAAGGGGCTGGTGGTGTGTTTGGAATTCACAGCCTGACCCGAGCATCAGGTGGAACTCCTTCTTACCCTCAGATCTTTACCTTCAAGACTCTCCTTAATGTTTCCTGTGACATCCCAGGTCTACCCCCACCCTCTCCCCCTGTCTGGCACCATATAGAAGGAAAAACATCTAAGGAAAGAAGTAGCCGATGCCAGTTTTGGCCTCCTTCTCCCGGGGCACACGGAGCAATGGGCGGTCTTGCTCCAGAATGGGGGGGTTACCCGCTCCTTCATCATCGTCATGGGAACGGGCAGTGCCGGGAGGCACAGCTGGCTCCTCAGAGGAACCTGGAAAATAGTAACAATGTTAACCCCTTATGTTTCTAGACTTCACACTTTGCACAGCACCCAAGGAACTAAGACCTAATTTTGAGCTTCAAATACAGTATGAGGCAAGAAGTTAGGGCAGAAATGATTACCCCCATTTGACATGTAAGAAAACTGCAGCCTAACAGTAGAACATACATCTCTAAATCTAGGCCCACTGTGGAAGCTGGGTGTGTGGGGGCGGGGGGCAGGAGGGCAGGGCCATGTTAGAGAACAGAAAGAGTGAGACAGATACCCCGTGCTTAGAGCAAATGGGCAATACCACCAGGGAAGCGAGGAAGTGGGCGTCCTCCTAACAACCACCACCACCCTACAACCAGCCTGACTAATTTTACTAAGCAAGTGAGTAACAAAGCTGGAGCCGGAAGCTTACAGAACTTCATGGAGGGGAGAAAGCAGGTGTCGGTCTTCAGTGACTCTGAGGAGGACCTGTAGTCCATGACTTGGCCAGGCTGAGACTTGTTTTTAAGGAAGGTGGTATCTACAGGAAATGTAACAGCTGCATCTTCTTTGCAGAACTGGATGGTCTTTGGACTCTGAACTTCTTTAGAGTCAAGATTGCTAGGCATTGGGACTGCTTCCACATTCATGATTTCTTCAAGATTGACAGCTAGGTCTCGCTGAGGGTCTGAAATTGTATTAAGAATGGAGACATCTTCAGGCTCTGGAGCCATATTTGTAATTTCATCTTCTTCAAAAGTGTTGGCTAGGTCTTTCTGAGAATCCGGAATTTTGTTGCGAATTTGAGTGCCCTCAGGCTCTGGAACCACACTGAGAACTGTGTCTTCTTCAAGATTGGGGCTTTCTTCAGAGTCTTGGATTCCACTGACATCAGAGTCTTCTTTGTGTCCTGGGATTTCTTCAGCGTCTGAGGCTTCTTCATTGTTTGGGACTCCACTTACATCTGAAGATTCTTCCTGGTTCTGAATTTCATCAAAATCAGGGACGTCTTCAGGGCTCGTTACCACATGGAGGGCTGGGACCTCTTCAGGGTTGGAGTCTTCTTCAGAGCCTGCAATTCCATTGACTTCTGGAGTTTCTACATAATCTGGAATTTCTCCAGTATCTGTGGTTTCTTCATCATTTGGGACTCCATCAAGAGCTGGAACCTCTTCAAGACTGGGGTCTTCTTCAGAGTCTGAGAGCCCATTAACCTCTGGGGATTCTTCATGATTTGGGATTTCATGACCACCAGGGGCTTCTTCAGGGCTTGGGACCACATGAAGAGCTGGGGCTTCATCAAAATCAAGGTCTTCACCAGAGTCTGAAATCCCATTGACCTCTGGGGCTTCTTCGTGGGCTGGAACTTCTTCAGCATTTGAGGCTTCATCATTCTGGATTTCATCAAGGGCTGAGACCTCTTCAAGATTGGGGTCTTCTTCAGAGTCTGGGTTTTCATCATTATCTGAGTCATCTGCATGGTCTGGGACTCCATCAGTGTCAGGGGCTTCTTCATTGTCTGGGATTTCGTCAGTATCTGAGGCTTCTTCATTGCTCGGGATTACATCGAGATAGGGAACTTCTGCTAGGTCAAGGTTTTGGTAGTCTTCAAAATCTGGTCCTTCCTCAAGGTCGTGGTTTGGGTTTTCTCCAGGGTTTGGGATTTCTTGCACATCTCGGGCTACTTCAGGGTCTCGAACCATATCGAAATATGGTATTTCTTCAAAGTCTTGGATTTCAATGAGTTCTAGAATTTCATCATCAGGGTCTAGAATGTCCTCAGGGGGAGGAAGAGCTAAATTCAGGGTATCGTCATCATCGTCGTTGTCATCATCTTCATCAAGTTCTGGAATGCCTTCGAGATGTGGGCCTGGAATCTCAAGGTCATTTGGAATCTCGAGACCTTGGACTTCACCAAAGACTACTCCTTGATTGAGATATTCAAATACTAGTTCTTCATTGACTGGCACATCTTCCTCAGAGGACTCATCTTCCTCAAGGGGCTCGTCTTCAGCAAGGACCTGGCCTTCAGGAAGGGCCTGACCTTCACCAAGGGACTGACCTTCACCAGGGGTCTGACCGCCAGCAGGGAACTGACCTTCATCAAAGGGCTTGCTTTGACCAAGGACAGCAGCCCGGGCTTCAGCAGAGTTTTCCACTGGATCAGAAAGTAAAGCATCCTCTTCCATCTTTATCCTTGCGCTCCTGAAGGGGAATGGATTTGAAAAAGCAAGTCAGTTTGTATACTTGGGTTGACTAACATAAAGGTGGCCTGGGGTTGGGAGCCCCCATAGGTGATTCTCCTTCAGGCTAAGCATGAACAAACCAAGAAAACACTCACTGGATCTTCCTCAAATTCCTGCGTCTGATAAAATCAAGGGCTTCAGGACTGGATTTCCATACACGCTTAGCAACCTGCCTCTGAATATGGGGAGGCACCTGAGGGTAAAATTAGCAATGTTAGCCTTTATTACACAACATTTTAAAAATCTATACTCATCTCTATCAGGTACCCAGAACTGAAGGCACCATGCCCAGATAATGTAGGAAGGATTTCTAGACTGGGAGATTTGTGGCTGCCTGCTTTGGATACCCCCAGGGATGCATGTGGAACTCTTCCTTGCCTTGTGAACAGGTGAAAGAGCTGTGACATAAGTGTGTCCAAAGCTTCCACCTACCTGAAAGAGGATATCCCAGTTATCAATCATGGCACGGACCACATTGACAGAAGCAACATAGTGGTCAATCCCCAGTCTTGTTTTCCTGGACTCCCTCTTGGCAGATATCCCCCTCTTCAGGAGAGCAGATCCAAACACCAAAGCCAAATTGGTGGAAGTCATACGATTGCCTGAAACCTAAGTAAAGGAAAGCAGAAAGTGATCAACTCTGAAGTAATAATGGAAGTTACACAAATAGAAATGTCTCTTTTTGTTCTTGTTTCCCTCTCCCTCTGTCTCTCTGTCTCTGTCTCTTTCTCATATACTCCCACACATCTCCCCTTCTATAAATCTCACTACCCTTTCCCAGAGCTTTTTACCAACTGTCCATCAATGCCAATGGAGTCCTCGCAGTTCTCAGTGATCTTATGCAGGACCTTCAGGAGACGCTCCAGGGTGTCACTGTGGCAAGGTGGCATCAGGTAAACCAGCAACTGCAAGGCAGAAAGCTGATCCTGTGGCTTCAGAGCTAGAGGAAGGAAAACAGGGGCTGGCTTAGGGGGCTAGCCTTGGCAGCAGCCTGATACAAAGAAAGGTGTGATTCTGGTTGAAAAATGCCAAAGGCTATGGATAAAGTACTCAAGCATCTTTTCTTTGCTCATTCTCATGGCATTTGAGCTCAGGATTCCTAAAAGCAAGAAGTGCTCCCATCAAAATCAGACCCCCTGGGCTTCCCTGGTGGCGCAGTGGTTGAGAGTCCGCCTGCCGATACAGGGGACGCGGGTGAATCACTTCGCTGTATAGCAGAAATTAACACAACACTGTAAATCAGCTATACTCCAATATAATAAATTAAAATAAAAAAGAACGCTTTCCAAATCTTCGAATCTAAGATTCCATGGTTTGGGGTGATGTGTCGACACAATGACCCACTTCTTAACTACACAGTCTCTCTTGAGGCTCTCATATAACTCAAGGATCTTAAATGTGGTCTCCACTATTATAGTCAGAAAACCATGAATTGAGACAAAAACCAGGAGCATACGGCCTTTGTATAGGGAAACTGCTTTAAATTATCTATAATTCCGCATGTGGCAGAAGTTGTGATAAGACACCTTAACCCATCTGACAATGTCTGAAATTGGAATTCAACTCTATTTTCAGGTGTACATCTCAGATTCTGTGTGGGGAGCCGAGGTTGGGGCTGGAGGTGAGAGATCTGATGATAATGAAAGACTTGGCGGTCCTGGGAGAGACCGGGGAAGGAAGTCAGGCCTGATAAATAGAACTCCTGGGGATGCCTGGTACGACCTGAAGACTCGCCCAGAAGTTGTGATCTGAGGCTGTGCAGGCAGTGTGACCTGAAGACTTGTTATTTGCCAACACGGGGTTTAAATTTTTTGAACTGATAAACCAAAGTTTAAAAATCAGGCTATTTCAAAAATAGCAAAAAAAAAAAAAAAAAAAAAAAAAGTAAAAATCAGACACCCTCCCTACAGAACCTAGGTTCTTTGCCCTGAGAGGGTGCACACAGCTTCAAGAAGCTCTAGAGAGATTTCCAAACAACAGACTTATAGCGGAATCTGGAGAGGTGTTTTCATCTTCTGGTGTTCATTTTGCCTTAGTTCCTTGGGGTCTTGCAGCCTGAGCTCTGTCCCCAGAACCCCACATCCCCTGTACTATTTTCTTTCCTTGCCCAACAAGGGAGAGCAGAAGACTCACTTGCTGTCAGGAGGAAGGACATGTACAGATCATCTGGCAGCAAAGAGTCCTTCATGTCACGGAAAAACTCCTTGAGGAGTGCGGCCACATCATGCACATTCTGAGAGTCATCCAGCACTACATCCAGACCTTGATCAAATTCTTCACGGAGCTAGAAAAAGAGAGAGAATACATTCGGTGGCTGCTCTGCCCATCACAGGCTCCCTACTGGCCACTCCTTCAGTAAGTCTCAGGCTTCAGTGGAGGTAGTTGGCTATACGGTGTGCCTAGGGGGCTAGAAAGAAGACTGTGCTCCCTTCACGAGGCATGACATTCTCTTCAGGTCTATGGGGGAGCCCCCACCCCCACCAGTTTTTTCTCACTGAAGGAACAAAAGCATAAACATAGCTGATTTACCTTACGCACTCTCTGCTCAGAATATTCCAGGGTGAAAATCCCCACTGTGCTTAAGCCTGAAAGAAAAGACCAGGGTATGCTAAGTATCTGTGCTCACCGCCCCCACCCCTAGCATTTCCCTTTCCCTCCCCCATTGTATCCCAACCCCAACTGGTGGCAAGGGGAATGTTTCATGCTCTTCATCCCTTGACCTCTTTCCTCTCCCCATCTCTAGAACACCGTTCTTTCTCTTGAATTGCCTCCTACCTTGATTTAACCATCATTCTTGGCCCCTTACCATGTTTCTCAATGAAGCTGCAGCAAGCCTCAACAACCTGGGGGATTTGCTTAGCAATCGGATTGAGGCTCATTTTCCTTTTGGATCCCAGAAGTCGCTGGCCAATTGGAAAGGAAGTCTTGGAAAGTTGCAGGGTCTGCAGCAGCAGGGCCCCGTCCTCCAGTTCAGCCAGGCTATCCACAGAGACTGCACCCTGTGGAGAAACCCCCACTATGTTAAAATGGGGGAGCAGGAGGGTCACTCCGGACCTTCCTGAAGATTGCATCACATTCACAACAGGAGACATTCTCTCTGTGGCAAGCCAATTACACCCCTCCAACACGTTCAGTTCAGCTCCCCTTCCCTCTGAGGACACAGGCCTTGACCTTCCCGCCCCACACCCCTGGACACTTCAAGAAGGGTCCCTGCCTGAAAACTGGAGGGTTTAACTCACTCGACGCCCACGGCGAGTAAACTCCCGGGGCAAGGAGGGCTCAGCCCGCCTGCGACTGAAAAAGCGCCTGATGCGGCCAAACATCCTTTGCACCACGTTTCCCCGACGACGGCCCGCAACCTGACGGGTGGCTTCTTCAATCTGCATCGCAGCTCTCAGTTCAAGTTGCTTGCGGCGGGTAAGCTCGTTCACCAGCACCTCTTCCAGTCGAATGCCAAAAGTCTTGAGTGATACCGCTGGGGAGCCAGGGAGAGAAAGAATGAGAAACGTCAACGCTCCGCAGCGCTTAAATCAGGAGGAACTGCAGGGGCTGTAGCACTCCTCTAAGCAACCGCCCCCAGCCAACCCCACTCCACCAGACCCGCAGCGCTCCTCCCTGGGGAGGGAGCCAAAGGGACCCTGCGATGGTCTGGCTGAACAACTCAGCTCCACTCAACTACCCCGATGGGGTCTCTGCCTTAATTCCTGCCAGGGGGTGACCACCTTGAAGCAATGAGGGTAATTTCTTCTGGGCAAACTGTCTGGGGTAGATTCACCCAGAAAGCTTAGGCATATCTGATGGGACTGCCCAGCACTCCTGCAGCTAGTGTGCCATTTCCTGAAATCATCCCCTGCGGGGTTTCTGGAAGCGGGGTGGGGGTGGGGTGAGCCCCCCCCCCAGGGGCAGTGGGCACAGCCCAGTCTCCAGTAGCCAGGGACGCAGTACAGGAGGGGTGCAGCATTCTATTTCTTTACTAAGGAAAGTACAGTATGAGAGACCCTCACCCCTCTCTTGTCCTCTCAGAATCAGAAACCACTTCTCCAAGGTGTTTGGACGGTCAATAGGTAGAGCTATGGGAAGAGAAAAAGAAAACACACGCATTCTCATACAAATAGTATTTGATAAGTGACTAAAACATCGTAATGCATTGATCCACAGAGACTGGGGAGAGGGGCAAACAGCTCTGTCCAGCCCGCAAAAGTGTTTTGCTTTCACTCAGCCTCAGTTTCCCCATTTGAAAACGGGACCAATTCTAACTACCACATATGAGACTCCAAGAATTTAACCAAACCAGATCATCTAAGGCGCCGCGTGCACAGCGCGCATCTTGTTACGCACCAGCAGTAGCTCAACACAACGCTTAAAACATAAATCCCGGGGCTCTGAGGCCGCGGGACAGCGCAACAGGCGAGGGGAGGGGCTCTGCCTGTGGCGCCTCGGCTACTAAGGGTCGCTAAGTTACTGCTGGCGCGCTTGCTCCCGGGATGATGCCGTCGGCTCCCCGCGCTGCGGCCGCGGGAGAAGCGGTGACACCCGCTATCTCCGCACTCCGACCCCCGCAGTGGCGGCTGCCCGCGGGGTCTCCTCGCCCTTTGCTGCGCTCCTTTTAGGCTGCGCCGGGCGAACCTGCGGCCCCCTGCACTTTTCATCACTGCGGCGGCAACCGTCGGCTCGCGTGACCCCCTCCCACCTCCCCTCAGTCGCAGAATCTGCGCCTGCACCGCGGAGACCACTGGCGCGCTCGACCCCCATCCTGCGCTGGGTCCCGCTCGCTCCCAGCGCACCTCCCGCCACCGCCTCCCTCACCCGCACTCGCCCTCCCGCTACTCGCCCTGATTGGCCCGTGTCTCTCTCTCACTGTCTCGCTATCTCCCTCTAACTCTTCGTCTCTCAACCGCGCTGTCTCTGTCTGTCCCAGTCTTCTCTGAGTGTCCCTCTGCGTCTCCATCTCATTCCGACTTGTTCTGGCACCTCAACTGGTGCGTCTGTCTTTTCACCTGTCCTCTGTCCACCTGTCTGTCCCTGGTATCTGCCTGTCTCACTGCCTCTCAAGCCCCCAGGCTTCAACCCAACTCAACTAATCTTTACCTCTTCCCAATTCACCAAACACCCTTCAACTCCCGCTCCTTCAGTTCCTCAGGATCCAGGAGAACCGGCCAGGTCCAAGACCAGAGGAGAGTCCCTCCCACCCTCCTGGACCCCCAATTCGTCCCGTTCCGCCCAGGGGGTCCACTCGGCCCGAAAGCGAGGATGCCACATCCCCGGGTACTGCTCACCTCTTTCGGGTTTGAATTCAGAGAGGAAATGCCTGGCCACGAGTTCGTGGTAAGCAGTCTCTTGCAGCTTCAGACGCTCCAGCTCGGAGAGGCTGTGTATTGAGATCATCTTGGTCCTGCGGTCCGGGTTGTGTCCTGGGGCTCCTCCCAGGACGTTCACTAAAAAAATGAAGGCGGACAACAACAGCAAAGGGGGCATGATTCTGGGGCACAGTGTCCTTGCTGCCTTCAGAAAGGGAATGCAGCCACCCATTCTGGAATCGGATGATTATCAGAACTGCATCATCCAATTGTCACTAGACCTGGTGGAGGGAACTATGGGGGGGGGGAGGGTGGTAAAGGGGGAGGGGAAACTGGGAGGTGGCTTCACCCTCAAGCAGAGCTGCCTCTGGCTGCTTATTAAAAAAAAAAAAAAAATCCAACTTAAAAAAAGCCAGCCCTGAACCGACAGTCCAGAAAAGAGAAAACCTAATTAGGCAAAAAGGAAAAAGGAAAAAAATATATTTAAAAAAAACCCCAACCTTACAATTTTAAAATGCACATTAAGATAAGAATAAGGTAATATTTTTCCATTAATTATTAGGAACTTTGATGGAGTTTATTTTTATTTTTTAATAATAATGCTTGATGCTGTCCAGTCTGGGTGAGATGGGCACATTCATCTAGGTTAAGAGCTCTGTAAAATTTGTACAACTCTTCCAGAAAGCAAACTGGACACGTGAGTCTGAAGCCAAAAATCATCCCCAGGCCCTTTGACCCAGTAATTCCCCTTCTAGGAATCTATCCTAATGAAATCTTCCTCCAGACAGGAAAAACCATATGTACATGAACCATAACAGTAAAAAATTAAGGGAAAAAAGCTAGCCCAGCAACAAGACTAGTTATATAAATTATGGAATAGCCACAGTATGGAAAATTATTCAATCATTAAAGTGATGGGAGCTTTTAAACAACAAATATAAAATACAGAATTGTATTAATTATGATTACAACTATGTGAAGAAAAACATGCAAAGAAGTAAAAGACTGAGAGAAATGCACCCAATTACTGATGGTGTCTGTATCAAATAGTGGGATTTGGTTTGCCTTTTGCCTTTTATCTATTTACCAAAAATTGTGCAACTTGATTATGTTATTTTCTCCTGAAAAAAAAAACCCCAACATCAGGTTGTACCAAAACAAACATCATTTCCAGGCCATTTCTAATGAGACTCTCTATACAGGATTGGTATAGTGAAGTTTCTTGGTGTATTGGCAAACCTCTTTTACATATCCCTTCTGCATGGTGCCCACTATCTCAAACTGCTTCCAGGTTGCACAGGATACCCCAGTGGGGATCTCCCTGCACCCCACACAGCATCCTATCCTGCACATCCTCACCTCTATTATTAATTTGTTCTTTCATGTATGCATTTTTTAAAAGAAGAAAAGAAAAGAAACCTGCATTAATTGTCTACTTTGTGCCAGGCACTAAAGATTCAAATATGAGCAAAATAATAATACTCTTTTCATAAAGAATTTAACAGTGCAGTGAAGGAGATACACAGGTTAACAACAATTTACAAATTGTGTAAATTGTGATAAGTCAATTGCCCAAGATATAAACAAACTACTGTGAAAGCAGAAAGGAGGAAACATCTAAGTCTGCCTGGAGACAGGGAGGGGGGAGTGTCCAGAAAGAGAGAACAGCTTGTGCAAAGGCAAAGAGATGGGAGAGAGGTTGTTATATTCTTAAAGCTGTATAAAGAGGATGGAAGGAGATAAATCTGGATAGGCAGGAATGAGATCATGAATGGCCCTATAAGCCATGTTAAGGAGCTGGACTTTCTCCTGAAGGCAATAGGGAACTACTTCAGGGTTTTAAGTGGGAAGTGACAGAGTCAGAGCTGCAGCTTGGAAAAATCGCAGAGCAGTGAAAAACCTGGTTTGGGTAGAAAGCCTGAAGTACGTAGATCAGCCAAGAGGCAAGAGATGCTGACACAAGTCAGTATCAATGGGGCTGGAGCAGGAGATGGATTTTATGGGTATAATTGACAGGACTTAGAGAAAATTTTTTATTGTAATGGAAAGGATAGCTCCGAAGTTTATGGTTTGGGTGAGTGTGTGGATGCTTCTTCCTAAGAGAAGATAATTCAGGACGTGGGGAGCTAAACCTTTTGGCAAGATGGGAAGTGGTCACATGCTACTTTTCTGAGCTCCCCTTGCCCATGGAGTTTTATGATAATATTCTATATATTATTGGGAGGGGGTGCTTAAACTCCAAAGATCAGGTAATGTGGCTTTGACAGAGAAAAGGTAGGTAGAAGTTTCTCATCCAATAATCTATATAAATGAGCTCTGTCAAAAAAAACCCCTCACTTCTTTTGTTTCCAAAATCCTCTTCTGCCCACTTTCCTTAATGGCCAAAGTCACACATGTCAGAAATAAACACTTGCCGGATAACTGAAGTTCAGTATGAGATAGGATGAGGAGTATTTCTATGCCTTTTGAACTGAGCTAAGGGGAAAATTCTTAGCATACATATTTTTTAAAGTCCCTTCAACGGAAAATCAATATCCCCTGGACCCAGAGTAAACACCTAAGCCCAACCACCAAAGTGCATCCACAAAATGACCATCTTAACCAAAGGCACATGCAGAGAACCTAACCACAGTCCCAAACTAAGCAGCCAGTAATCCCCCATTCACAATGGCAGGTCCAAAATCTATTAGCCAAGTGTCTCATTCTGACACACACAGCCTAGCTTTGGATTATTTTTTTTTACATGGCTCCCTCT